CTGAGACGTTTTTGCGTCTTTTTTAATTGTTTGACATTAGAGTGCATAGCCACCGTGATATTTAATGTCAAACGTATTTACTTGTATTAATTCTGAATTTTGTAGATTTTTGTTTAAACGTCGGCCAAAAAGCTTAATACAAATCTTGTGCGTTAACCATTTTACAGTGCTCAATTATTAAAGCACTCCGCTGCGCGTCGTGCTTCAAATTCATTTCGCACTGTAAAATGTAAGTTACCGCACACGAATGTAAATAACTATTTTCTAATTTAAATGAATTTAAAATACTTTAACTTTAAAAAATCATTACTCAATAACTATTAGGCCGATTTCCTTCAAATAAAGACCATTCTAAAGGGATGGCCTTGTCCCTTAGAATGATATAAAATTTGAAATTGAATATTGGCAAATATGATGAGAAACCATTTGCTGAGAACATTTTCAAAAAAAAAGTTCAGAAAGCTAGAACAAAGTGACAAGTTGGAATCTGAATGGAAAGTGATTTAATTTGAAAAAGATTTGTTATTATATTTAAAGATACTGCTTTAAACTTCTAGATCCTTTTGGCTCAATGATCAGTGATCATTTTTAGAACAAAAAAACTCTTTATTTCCTTTAATAAGTACGCAGACACTCTTTGTTTGTTTTAAGTAAAGAAACAGTTTTTGTTTATTCTAATTAAAACAAAGAAGGTGCAATTGACCAAGCAAAAGAAGAGCCTTAAAAGAAATACTTTTATAAAAATGCAATTTTAAGTAAGAATAACATGCATTTCTCCTATATGGCGCAATACCTGAATAGCAAACCTCAACTTCAAAAAATCATATCTTGAAAACTATTCGGTATATTATTTTAAAAATTTGGATTCTTATTAATAAAAAGATGCTCTACACGATGGTGACGAAGAAAAAAAATTACTCGTAGGGTTTTTCTTAGATTACTTCGATTTACTTCGAAGTTTGCCAATATTCAATTTCAAATTGCATATCATTCTAAAGGGCAAGTCCATCCCTTTAGAATGGTCTTTATTTGAAGGAAATCGGCCTAATAGTTATTGAGTAATGATTTTTTAATGTTAAAGTATTTTAAATTTATTTAAATTAGAAAAAAATTATTTAGTTCAAAGTGTGTGGACTTTTTGAATTTTTTTTAGTGCATTTGATTTGTCTTACTGAGACGAACAAAATGATATAAAATTTGTCAAATCGTCACGACATGACTTTTTTTTGTCGCCTTGTGTAATTACATTCACTTGTCTCTTACCAAATTCTTCGTGTTTGAAGAGTATTGAATCAAAACAAAACACATTCAAAAGCCACAATGACACGAAAAGTACAGCGAGTGGCACAATTGAGAAGAGAAAATCAAAGAAAATGTTGGTAAACCAATAGAAATACGTTTTGATTCCGGCGAAAATCTGCAATTGTAAGAAATGTGTCGACACTTCCGAATTTGGAAAAATGATAAAATTGCTGACAAAAAACAGCATACCTGCAAACACCCAATAAAAATCAAAACCCCAAATCTTGTTCAAACTTACTCATTGGTATCAGAATCACCCAAACACTTGCCACACTCACCACCGATAATTCAGTGGGGGTTAATTCAGTACTGAACGATTTTAGTGGTGTATTACTCGTAGTGATCGAATAACTGTCATTTAACAAAGCCTTAAGTGCTGCATTCATGGCCATATTAATCGAAATTGGTACTGCATGAATTGCAAAACGATTATACATTGCGTTAACAATAATTTCATCGTTTGAACTTTTATTAAATTCAGCGGCGACGATTATGTGTTTGTTGTAAAAGGCAATGTTTTTGTTCCCCGCCTCTATGATCCCTGCAGAGACGTCTTTTTTCAGTTCGGGATAGCCCCCTTGTTGTTGGACAATTTCTTCGTACAGTTTTCGCATCTTAATCAACTCAGGTAAGTTATCACCCCCGAAATAAGTGTGCGATTTGTCGTAGACTTTTAAAGTTAGGTTTAATTGGGACTCCCCGACGTTGTTATAATCCGTACTTGAGATGCCTAACCAGATGGCTAAGAGAAAAATCGTAATTGATACAATCACCTGTAAGGAAATTTGTTTGATCAAAATTACACTAAAATTTAAATACTCACGGCAGGAAAATACCAATAAAACTTTTTCTTAAAGAAATACCAACGTTTAACAAGTAGGGCTAGAAAACTGTTCAAGGAACGATTTAATTTCACAGTTTTAGTCGTATTAAAGACTGAAATATTATTATCAATTATTATTATTATTAAAAAATAAATAAATAAATAATAATTATTATTATTATCATTATTGCACTTACTGGGTTTATCAGAACCGTCGACTTGACTCTCCCCGATTCCAAGACGTTCGAGATGTTTGTCTCTAGCTCTAAAAACACCACATTTACAAATTTACAATTGTGATAAATTTCTTTACTTTAGAAAGACGTCATTGAGTGTAGTTAAGCTGAGGCCCACTGCAATTATTCCCCAATTGTCTTTATTCTTTTCTTCCAAAGATTTTAAAACATCTTTATATTTATGTTTCTCATCCATTGGTAGTAAATAAACGAGGCTATCGTGATGTGTTCGCAACAATGTGGCGTTAGGAATAAACCTCTGAATTTCACTTGTTATTTCTTTTACAAAGCTCATTGATTTCAGCATCAACGACAAATGATAACCCGTATCTTAAAACAGACAAATTATTTAAATAATTAAAAAAAACAAACAAATTTTACTATATTTCATTTTCAAATTGTATGGTGTATCATGATCTTGTAGTTTTCCATCAGCCATTATGGCGATGTAATCACCAAGAACATCAGCTTCTTCCATGAAATGGGTTGTGATTAGAATTGTCTTTGTTTTTCTATACTCAAGCAACATGTTCCAGACTTTACGACGCGATTCTGGATCCATACCAGACGTCGGTTCGTCCAAAATCAATACCTTCAATAACAAACATTTTATTTTCTACTCAAAATAATAATTAAAATTAACCACCTGTGAATCCCCTATTAAGGCCATGCCAAGACATAGCTTTCTTTTCATCCCACCGGATAAAGTACAAGCCATTTCGTATTTCTTCTCCTCAAGACCGAGTTTTTCCAACATTTCTGTCGCCTCTTTGGTTGAATTTTTCGATCGCTTTATCTAATACCAAAATAAAATACCAATTAAAGTGAGCTGTGACTTTGAAATTAAGTTGGTGACAATGTTGCCAACTTAATTTCAAAGTTACAGCCCACTTTAATTGCTATTTCACTTTTTCCATACCATTGCGAAAAATTTCAAATGTTCGAAAACAGTCAAGTCGGGAAAAAGTAAGTTGTGTTGTGGACATAGACCTAGAAGTCTTCGGACCTCACTAGTGTGTCTCTTGATATCTTTTCCGTTGATTTTAACAGATCCATTAGTTGCATTGATCATTCCTAACCGAAAAATTTATTTTAATTTTATAAAATACAGAATGTGTCAAAATTCGCGCCCCAGAGAAAAAAATTAAGTAAGATAAGATACCAGAACATGAAAAAAATGTTTAAAAAATTCTATCTGTCAAAAAATTTTGACATATATTTTTTGACATTTGACATTTTTTATCTCTATACTCGTTTTCATATTAATATGCATCGAAGTATAATCGTTAAAAGGGATCATTTTAAGGTGGCAACCATGCAAAAATTCAAACAATCCTAACCTCAATCTTCTCTAAAAATTATTTTTTCAAATAAATGTGTACCCCAGGTAGCAAAAAATTATTAAAATTATCAAGATAATTAACATAGGGTAGCAAACACAAAGATTTTTGTCATGATTGATGTGATTGAAATTGTTCTCAATGATATTAATGACACTTTTTGTGTGAATTGGCCTTTAAATTAAAGATGCATTTAGACTTCTACAACCTGCTTGATGCACATTAATAAAAAAGAGTATACATATTTAATTATACTGATGATATTTGTATATGATTTTTTATAATTATTCAGTAAAGGTAAAAAAATTTCGCCAATAACATTAAACAGAGTTACAATTTAGGATATTAATTAATTTAATTTAATTAATTAATTAATTTCCTCTTCCAATAGCCTTAGCAAATTTATTTTTCCAACAGAAATAGAGTGCAAAATTTAAACTCTCATAACTTCGAAATTTTCATGGATAGAATTTTTTTAACATGTTTTTCCATGTACCTTACATAACATTTTTCTCTGGGGTGCGAGTTCTGGCGCACCCTATATTTTCCTATTACCTGTTAGTATGGACATTGTGGTGGTTTTCCCTGCCCCATTGTGGCCCAACAAAACTGTTATGTAGTTTTTGTAAATAGGCAAATTAAGATTGTCGACGGCGACGACGTTATTAAACTTTTTGAATAAATCAATAATTTCAATACATTTTTCTGGGTCACTTAAACGTGCTGCTTCAGGATCATTTTCGACTTTTGAACAATACAAACATTTGACGCACTAAAATCAATTCATTCAAATTCTTATTAAGAAAAACTGCGAAAACCTACTTTCTTTAGAGTTTTTAACGGGAAACTGTATGGTTGGGCGATTCCGTACTTCCCCGGTTTGACGTTTTCAATGTAAATTGTTAATAACATGAATAAAATCATGTCCACAATCAACATTACGAAAACGTTTCCCATTGTTACGTCATTTTCGCCACCGCTCCCCGATTGAAACATGTTAGACCATTGGATGCCCACCTCTGAGAAGATTTTCAAATAGAATTTGAATGTGAACAAACCCAATAGTTATACCCCTCATTTCATAAACTGAAATTGACTTGTATGCGAAATGAAGTGCCATGTTGGGGAATAACGCCAAAGGTATTTTAAATCTCCACGCCAGGTTTTCATGTGAAGTTACTACAGCTTGCGGTATAAAGTACGAAAAGATCCAAATCAGTAATCCCACCACTGTCGCTATTGATGCTAAAATAACATTCAATCCAATTCAATTTGTGAAAACACATTTTTATTATCAACAAACATGAATTTTTAGGCAAGTAAAATTATGATAACCTAAATTTTCGATTTATCATGGATTATTTTTATCATTAAGTCAATTTATTATGACCGATACGAAACTCCAAAAAGGTATACTTTCTAACTAACCATAACTATTTTTGTTTTATTGTTTCGGGACAGTATCTTCTAACTTGATGAATCCATATCATATTTGTGTGGGATGTATCTCATTTCACTTGACAAAAATCGATCTTTGTAGATGTATCAGTATCATTATTGTATTGTATCTGATGAAATTTATCAAAAAACATCAAAGGAGAACTTGAAAAACGTAGCTACGCAAGCATATGTTTAAGATATAATTTGTGATACCTTTCAACTTTTTAACTTAAAAAAAAAATCGTTTTTACATTGAAAAAAAAGGCCAAAAAAAACCGACATTTAACCGGCACCGGATAACAAAGTTTAGTCAAAGCTAACATTTTTGGAAAACCTTTAAAATTAGCAAAACAAAATTTCAAAGGCAAAAAGCTGATGTTAAAAGTATAACATGGCATCAACACCATTTCTTTTTTTAGATCGCTTGCAAACCAATTTCGTCATATAATTAAAAAATACTATTTCCCACTTAAACTTTTGTATTTCCCTCGGTTCTCTTTCTGTCATTCCTTTTTTAAAGAAAAACTGATTTTTTGTTTACTTGTCTTTTGTTTGTCCAATTTGTATTTGTTTTTATCTTCATTTCTTTTCAAATAAAAGCAATATTATTTATCAAGTACAACAACACTCATACATCCTCATTTTCTCCTTCGTCTAGTCATCTGTTCATCTACCCTGTATAAATTTCTCATTGCACTTTGAAATACAAAAATCCTCATAAAAAAATTTTGTATTAATTCAAAACTGGGCCCCACATATCAAATCTGTAATTACGCTGATATTTAGGTATCTGAATTGTATCTAAATCTGTTAATATTCTGATAAAAGTTGGCACGCAGCAGTCAGATGTTTAAGATTTATGAACCATTTTAGTTTTTTGACTAAAAAAAATTGGCTTGAGTTTGAAAAAAAGTCACAAAAGTCGAGACATTTGTGTTTCATAACGAGAACCCGATAAAGTTCAGTCAAAAAGTGATGTTAGCAGCACCAATTCTTTTTTTAAATTGCTTAAAAACAATATTGAAAACAATATTGGTAGTATCCATAATTAAAAAAATGCTATTTTCCACTTAAACTTTTGTATTTCTCTCGATTCTCTTCGTCTCTTACTCTATTTATTGTTATCATATTGTTCCATATGTGTCTGTATTGTTTTTTTTTTTTTTGTTTACTTGTCTTGCGTTTGTCCAATTTGTAATCTTATTAATCTCTTTGTATCTTCATTTTTTTTCAAACAAAAACAATATCAAGTAAAACAACACTCATACAGCCTCACTTTTTCCGTCGTCACTTCTCCAATACCAATAAAAAAGCTCACCATAATATTAAATTGGTTTTCTTTAATGTAGTCAATTCGCATAATATAAGATCCTTGTTTTTCTTCTTGTATCCTAGTCCACTTGAACTTCTTATTTCGATATTTATTGCTGCATCTTCTGCTGAGAAATCTTCGACAATATGTATTTAGCTTAACAATTGTCACGAAATCTCAGTCTAAACAACAAGCGTTGTTTCAAATTAAATTTTTAAAACTCAAAAAAGGAACTTAAGAACCTTTACTAAAGTCCAAAAACTCAGCTACCTAGGATGTAACAAAAAACCTAAGTATTTTTGGCTCGTACAACAAAAGTAAATACATACCTGAAGTGTAAAAATGTAGCAAGAAGAAGAAGAAGCATTGTGAAGATTTTGACAAGAAAGGTTGTCTTCAAAAGGGTGGCTACAAAAAAATCGAATCCAGTTTAAGCCTTCACATCTCCGGAACGCTTGAGATAACAGTTCCAATTTTTGCTCTCTAAGAGACAATTAATTGAAAATTATCAACTTTTTCTAGTTGATTAAAGTGTCCCGGAGATGTGGAGGCTGAAACAGGATTCGTTTTTTCCAAACCACCCGGTATAATCTCAAGTATTTGAGAATCTGAAGTTAGTACAGTGTATACCATTTATTCCAACGTGTTCTTAAGGTATTTAAGAACAAAGGAGGACTGTAGTGTTACTACAATGTGCACTGTCAAGTGCAAGTTTCTCAAAGTACTGTCAAGTACTTGAAATATGTTCTCAAGGTATTTGAGAACAAGGAAAGTACTATTTAGTGTAAGTTTCTCAAGTGATGAGAACACTAAAGTACTGTCAAGAACACTGAGCGTTGTCAAATGTCTCATGTATAAAATTTTCAATCATATTTATCGTTTTTTTAATAGATTTTTGAACGTCAAAAACATGCAATTTTTCTAAATCTTTACTTACGTTTGTTGATTATGGTGGCTACCAGGAAGCAGAACGTTATAGCGGCCATGCAGTATAAAAACAAGAAGACGAAGAGAACAACGCCACTTGAATACTCAATAGGTGGATAAGGAACACCCCAGAAAGGTACTTTCATCAACACTACGATGACAATTATGGAGAAAAGATTCGTCATCAAAGCATGGATAAACCATCCCAACCATAACATTGACGAATTCATACCAACCATTTTCATAAATTCCTGAAATAACTCGAAATTAATTGAAATTTTGATAATGTCGTGACTGACTTTAGTTCCTGAATGTTTTTCTTCGCCGACTTTTTGCAACACCGCTGGACACAAGAATATAAAGCTGAAAATTGTTATCAGAGGTAGAAAATATATGAAAAGTTGACTCAATCCCGAATCGTCGGTATGAGGCGGATCTGGAAATTCCTGGATTGAAAAATCGATTTTCGGGGACTTCAGCGTTTGTAATTCCAGAAATGCCAAATCAATTGCGACTTGTAGTGCAGCAAAACCTTTGTAGATGTATTTTGACGATCCTAAAACGCGACAAAATTATTATTTTTCTTATTACTACCAAACCCAAAAACTCACTTCGATCTTCCTGTGATATAACAGGAACAAAAAGCTTGTCAGTGTCCCATGATGAATATTTATCGTAAAAGCCCAAGTCGTAATTCAAATGTTTGGGATCGCTGCCGTGAAAATTAACCAACGTTATCAGAGACGTACAATTTGAAGCACTCTGAAAATGCTGTTTCAGTTTTTCAGGTGATGTATACTCCCGAACATCTGTAAAAACATGTATAAGTGAGAGGCACACTCTGGGCGCTGAAAAATGTACCATCGCCAGGGATTTGGAACGTTTCCTGGACTTTCTTGATGATATTTTCAGTGAAATTGTTGTAAGGTGCATACCACAACTGTAATTCTCCGACATCTAAATGCGAATAAATCTCGTCCAACGTATTTTCTCTGTAGTATGTTGGATAAGTGATGATTTGTTTATTCATACCACTTATTTTCGATCTGCCGTAAGCAACTAAAGTGAATAATAATATGGGGATTAAGATTTCCGTGAGGGTTAATAACCAATGTCGCTTCCTTATGACTAAGTTTTTCCATAATATTAACTTTAAGTGTTGAAACATCGTATCGGTTCTGAAAATATAATGTAAAAATTAGAATACATCGAAGTACAGATGATACATTAATGTGCTGATGTGAATTTTAAGATATTATGTCTTCACATACTCTATTTATAATTGTTAGTAGTAATATCATACACGTATTCACTGTAACTACTAACAATTTCATCGAGCTATACAACATTAATAATACTACTACTAACTATAACCGATAACTATATCATTAATTAAGCAATTTCGGAACGCAATGAATAATGAAGGTCACATTGAGGAAAAGGTAATTGTTTAGAGCGGAAATCCAACTTTTAATAACAGTTTTGTTTTCGTACAAAACGTTTGTCGCCACGCAAAATATGTACAATTAGACAAAAAGACAAAACAACAATTAAAATATATACCAAAAACAGTATGTAAATATATCTGCTAAAATCTAAAAAAGAAAGAGAAAACAAAAAACATAATTTTGGCGATCTATCGACATTTTTGTTTTTTAGGATTTTAAATAACAGTTTTTTGTTTATAGCTATGGTTAAAACAAAAACTCCAATTGGAATTCATTATTTATCAACCAAGAAAACTAATCAATAAGGTAATTCCCCCCTTTTGTTTCAACAACAAAATCAATCAAACAATGCATTCATAAACAATTGAAATCTGATTATTATTAATCTAGGAGGCCGTTGTGCAAACTGTCGAGAAATGTGTGAATTACTGAATTATTTATCATGATTCATGACAAATATTTCAATTTGTGTAGACAGCCTTGTTCCATAATTTTATTTTTTTAAGTTGCTTCATTTTTGATAAAAACATGAAAAGTGAGTTTAAATTATTGTCATTTTGATGTTTTTTTTTTTTAATTGAGGGGCAAATTTCGCACTGGAGCGGTTGAAAACCGTTCCCTAAAGGAAGTAGAAGTGAGAATTACGTGACAATATATAAAATAAGTGGTTTGTGTAATATTAGCACACTCTTTATGATAGAGTTCACTATCTGATAAAGAAAATCAATATGGCATGAGCAAATATGTAATTACTAGGCCCAATAGAATTGCAAAAGTTTCCTTGTTTGTTTTTTGCTTAATAAGAAACATTTTCCTTTCTCTATGTGTTACAACAAAGCAATATAGATAAGGTAAAAACCATAGTTCTTATCATTATCTTTAAAAAATAAAACGAACTTACAAACAAGCTTATTATCAGCTTAAAACAAAAACAAATGCAGGAACCTCACTTATGTCGACTAAAATCATAAATTTACAAAATTTAAAAACATTGTTGGACTGGAATTATGACACACCGAGGATGATGAACGAATAAACAATATTTTAATATTGAGGTGTGAGATGCATAGTAACCTTGTTTTCTCCTTTCATGTAAATGTGTTGATAACCCATAAACTGAGAGTTGAGACCACTTTGCTCAAAACAAGCCACCAAACGGCAAATGGCTTGTCAGTTGCAAAGATGTGAAAACAAGAATTTCAACCTTTTAAAATGTCTATAATAAATTCACAGAATTGTTCATTCCAAATAGAACCACGTCAAAAGTAAAACTGCGGTTATTTGCCTGCAAAGATAAAAAAAAAATACATAAGTATGTACTAAACCTGATAGCGATAACTTACTAATTCCGTTGATAATAAAATTTGATATTTTGTATGGACTTGAGGAATTTTTTTTGCTCTAATAAGACCTTTGTTCTAAATAACAACAGCTGCTGCGTTGCAGTTGTTAAAGAAACTTTTTTGACAGTTGACAGACCACAGCCAATGAGGTGTGGGGTGTCAGCCAGCTCTGCTGATCAATAATTTTAAGACTAATATGCAAGATTACTTTTTTGTGGCGTTTCTCTTCATTGTAAAATAAGCTCTATAATTCCTTTGAAACAAATTTTAGTTTGAGCGAATACAAATGTGACTGCAAAATAATAAAATTGTGACTGTAAGTTTGGTTGCCTAGTCTAATGCGCCTATAATGCCCTTGTTTAACTTATTTTTTTTAATCCACTACCTTCTCAAATACTGAGTGATTGCTATCGCCAGGTTGGCAATAAGTTTACAGCGTTAATTTGGCTCTTTTGTTACAATTTTAAAATGCAGTTGGGCTTAAAATTAGAAATTTCAAAATTTAATATAACTGTTATGTATTCACAAAACTCCCGTGACGTTTACAATGTCAAACCAAAATTTTTGAGAATTTTTGAGTGTATCTTAAACGATACAGATGACTATTATTTCATCTGACTGTACTTGATGTCAAATTTCCATGGCAGCATGGTACACGGCCCATGCGTCAAACGATAATAATAATTAAATCATTTGAAATCAAGTGATAGCGACCAGGTTGTTAAACTTTGAGTGAAGTTGTCATCAACATAGCCATAGTGACTTTTTGTTTAACTAACTTAACATCATTTTGACATGTCGGGAGTTTAGTGAATATATTATATTTTTTCTTGATTATTTTATAGAGAGATAGTAGGTGATTTGTTAAATGTACTTTTTGTTAGGTATAATAAGATAATGATAACAGTATCTACTTAAGTACCTTAGTACCTATTTACTTGATTTTGAGATCAAAATATTATTGTAGATAATGGCTGTTGTTTTGTGCCAAAATGATATAAACAACTCTATTTTTAACCCAAGAATGTATGCCGGTTATGCCAGAAGCAACCAAAGGAAATCGAGGACATTTTGCATTTGAGGAATTAACGATGGTTATTCTAGAGCTGCATACAAAACTTTCCTCTCAATATATTAAATTATTAATGACATAAGAAAATGATAAATTTGTCAAATAATGCTAAATAATTCATCAAAATATTACCTATTCACAGTGGCTTATTATAGCAGAAGCCTAAGAAGCCAGGGCTTGCAGCGCAAAGATTTCCAGGAGCGCAAAATTTTGAGAAAGAATTTTTTTTCTTTAAAAAAATAATGAAATCGTGTTTGTCGGAGCAAAATAAATTCACGGTCATTATTTTTTCTGTAGTAATATCGTAAGTGGTAAAATTTTGTCGCCAAAATTTTCAGATTATACGAGAGTTTGTTTCATAGCAATTTATCAAGTGACATTGTTAGAAAAACCTCGAGTCGCAAACGAGAGGTTTTTGAACAATGTCACGAGCTAAATTGGCAACAAAAACTCGAGTTAACCAATCGAAAAATTTTGCCAGACCAAATTTTACCACGAATGTTATTCGGAGGACTATTTCATGAATAAAACTACACATTCAAGTCTACAACTATTTATTATAAATATTAAGTGTACGATTATTGTAAACAATTTTGCAGGAAATGTCGTTATTTACTGTCAATCAACGCAGACGACGGTTTAAAACAGCGGATTAAAATTTTTAATGCGCCGATTATTGACGTTTTAATGCGCTGTTTAAATAAACAAAATAAACAATGACTAATAGTTTGATTTGACATAAATAAACGTCATTTTATAAGGCAAAATTGAATAAACTACTTTTATATGTGCAGAGATTAATATATTAACCGTCGTCTGCGTTGATTGACAGTAAATAAAGTCTGTGCAATAGGCCAAAATCGTGAACTTGTCAAAATCATAAATTCCGGTAGATGACGCGCGCGTTACCCTCCAAAGGAAACTGTAATTTGTGAAATTTGAAAATTTGCAGGAAATTAAATGTCACAATTGTTGACACGTTTAATAAAATATTGATCTGTCACACAACTAATACATTTTTTCAGCTTAAGAAGCGCAGTATCAATATCTTTCAGACGTTACATTATAATTTTTAAAATGCCAAGTATTCGAACTTGCTTTGTTCCAAACTGTGGGCAAGCGGAGAAAGAGGGTGTTATTTTACATCAATTTCCAAAAAGTAGAAATCAAAAAAACGAATGGCTTAAGAGAATATTTGGTACCATCGGCAATATACCCCCAAATTCCGTGATTTGTGGAAAACACTTTGAAATAACGCTGCTATTATAGCTATTATAAAAACAAAAAATTGTTACCAAATGCAGTTCCATCCTTGCTCTTGAATTATAAAAGAATTACTCGTTTTCAGGTAATTTATACCACTTCCATTAATTCAGAACGTAAGCCGTTAGAAACGCCTGCACCGTGTCTCCAATCTCCAGAGTCATTTGACAAAAATTATACGATTTCAAATCCATTTTGATTTGATTTTGATCAACAAAGCGATTTAAAAGTAGGTGATACTCATGATTTTGATTTAAAAAATGTTTCAGATGCAAAAAGTTCGGCAGAAAAATTTGTCTTACTAGATAAAATTCAAAACTTAGAAAAAAAGTTACAGGAAGCAAATGTAAGATTTCAAAAGTTGAATAAGCTGTATGAAAATAAACTTGAAAAACTAAAGAGAATGCAGGAAAAAATTGACAATTACAGTAAAGGTCAACATTGTGTAGTGAAAATTGAGTCAGATGCAAAGGACTTAGAACCAAGGGCTGTGTTTATACTTAATAATTTAAAAGACGTTGAGAAAATATATTCTCTTATTATAGATGACATGGCCATTAAAGAAAAAATGGAGTATAATCGAACAGAAAATACATTTTACGGCATTGCAAATACTGAGAACGAAATAATAGGAAAAAAGCCCATTTTAGCCAATAAACTGTTGTGCTTCGTTATTCATGGATTGTCTACCAAATACACTATTCCCGTTGGATACTTTTTTCATAAAATACTTTCGACTGAACAGTTTTTTAATATGAGCATAAATGTAATAAAACAGGTACATGAATGTGGCTTCAAAATCTTGAAATTGGTAAGTGACAATCATAAATCAAATGTTGCACTTTTTATTAAAATGTTACATGAATGTGGCTGTGTGACAATCATAAATCAAATGTTGCACTTTTTATTAAAATGTTAGGACAAACAGAGCTGAAAACCAAGGTCCAAATAAAAAAATAGTAGAAAATATAATTAATCCTAGTGTTTTTTATTCAAAATTTTGAAGAAATAATAAAGAGTTATTCTAATATGTTAATGTTCTTTTAAATTTGTAAAGAATAAAAATAACTATCTAACCCAAATGTAAATCTTTATTTAAAGTAAATTTTTGTATACAAAAATTTATTAAGGTTTCAAACCACAATATACAGATTCCATTAGACTACAGACTCGTCGTTCCCCCAACGGCCATTTTTTGGCATTGCCCAGACTTTTATTATTGTCAATCAACACAGACGACGTTTTAAACATACAATATTTTTACTTAACATTACAATAAAAATGATTATCGCATCAGATTCTAAAGTTCCTCACTCGGTATTTGAGCAACAATACAAATGTTGCGATTTTGAACTGTTGCACATTCGAAATTCACGCTTCCATAACTGTGTGTTTAGCGCAGGACTTGGACAAGGTGCAACAGATGATTTTGAAAAAGCAGTTTATCCATTAGTATGGCATCACTATCATCCAACGAACGTTCCACATCAGAAAGAACATTATAATGCACTTCTTCACACAAATTATTATATTAATTTTTTCCACAGAAAACGACTTGACACTCACAACACAATTTTTTTTCCAACTTTGCTTATAAAAAACAAGTCGTTGTCATGGTCGCCGCATAGGAATCATGAAATTTGTAAATGTCTGACGATTTGATGACTATTATCTTTAAAATCGAAAGGTTTATAAGGCAAAATCAAATAAAATGTTGTATTACACTCGCAAGAGCTGTTCGTTTAACCGCGCAAGCTGCGCAGCAGCGGGCGCGTTAATAACAGCGAATTAAACGGCCACTTTATCCGCTTGTATAATAAATAACTATTAGGTATTGTGTAATAATAATTTATTTAAAATAAAGTCACTTTTCATAATTTTTGCTTTTTTTTCTTTAGATTTGTGATTAAGCTTTTTTTCGAGTTCGTCACATTCTGCTTGTTTATATTATTATAAACTTCGCCACACAACGTACAGGGTGAATATAAAGTATGGAACCAAGCGGTTTTATTTTTAATCATTTGCCTCCGGAAAATAATAATTAATATAAATTAAAGTAATATAAAAAATGTGATCGTAATTTTAGAACGAAATTTTGTTTTGTTTTTGAGTTATGCGATTTTTTTTTGTCAAAATTGCAATTTATGTGAAAAAATTTTTTTGAAAAAATTAAAAATAAAGCAGATAGTTGTAATCCTTAGAGTATAGCTTTTATGAGAAAAATGATTTTATAGTGGGTTGCCATTAAAAAAAATTAATTTAAAAATTAATTAATAATAAACTCAAAAATAAAAGGAAATTTCGAAAAATTTTATTCTTGTTAAATCATCACATTTTTATAGTACTTTAGCACTCATCAATTAGTTTTTTCGAAAAATAAATAGTTTAAGCAAAAAACATTTGGTTCCATACTTTTTATTCACCTGGTATGTACTTATTTATACAAGGTTAGTCACGAGAGGGATATTTCTGAATTTGTTTTTGACGCAACCCATTATACATATTGCAGCAATTTCTTGATTCCAAATTTTGAAAATAATTATAACTAAATCCACGATAGCTGTTATTAGTCTTGTCTCTTCAACATTAAAGCAAAACAATCATCTCTCAAACGATGCTACATGGTTTGTTATCGTTTACCAACCGACTAGGCGCATGTTTAGAAATCGATGGTAGACACTTCAAACACCTTTTACATTAACTTAACTTGTTAATTTATTTGTTGAATTTTGATTAAATATAGGTTATCTGTCAATCTGACATTCCTGGCAAATCTATCCAACTTACTTTGATTTGTCATTTAAAAGAAATAACATATTTAATTTAGCAGTTGGTGAAATTGGTATTGTTGGTTGCGGCAAAAATTTTTTCAGAAATAACCCTCCCGTGAATAATCCTGTATACCAATTGTGTCTCAACTTGAGAATTGAATCTTTTAGTCTTAAGGAATTTTTTCTTTTGCATCTTCTGAAAATCCTGCATTTCCACACTTTCATCATTACAATTTCTGTGTCGTAAACTGATTTTGTTTTTCCTTAAGCGTTAACCAATTCGTCTAAAATATCTTCTTTGCGGTTCTCTTGTTTTGGATACGATTTGTAAGTCTTTTATAGACGATTCTACTTTGCGATTTCTTCAGATGATGAAAATTTTAAACACATTTTTATTATAACAAAAATTCAAGTCTATTATATATTAAAAAATTGAAGAATTATCTTTTTTTTTAATATTCTTTTTCACATGATGAAAACAGAAATTAATAGTTATTTGTATTTCAAGGAAGGAAAGTGTATCTTTTCTACCTCTAAACAGTAGAGTTTCCTTTATTTTTTTGTAGGTATTCAATGAAATTCAACTTTTAATTTGAAATAGATTCGAAGTATCCAACATAGTCATTTTTCTCGCCCAAATGTTCCACCAAGAGTTTTAATTTCAACATAATATCAAGAGCATAAGCTACATTTGTATAAATTTTTTTGATATAAGCATTTGATTTTTTAATGAAATTGCAAATACAGGGTGTTAACAAAAGATTGTAAAATATTCCAGAAGGTAAATGTATGGATCAAAACAAACAAAAAAGTAACTACCGTTACGCAAATAGTTATTTATTGTAAGAGTGTGTTAGATAGCGTTTTATCCACGCAAGAATGTTTAACCGCAAGAACGTCAGTTCGATAACTGGATAAAACGCGACTAACACACGACTGCAATATAACGTTTTATCCACAATCACAGACCCACATTATTCCAAACTTGGCTTTTGGTAAAACGTAGTAACCTGTACGCGGTGCGCTGGTTGCGAACAGTGGAATAAAGTTACTTTATTCCACTAGTGGATAAAGTGGTACTTTATACGCATCTAAGTGTGGAATAAAGTCTGTTTATAGAGTGATTGTGGATAAAACATACAAAGTTGTAATCCTTAGATGAGCGGCAAAATTATGGAATAGTCTTATTAAAACTGAAAATAGTTTGTTTTGACAAAAATGCTTGAACAGGTCAATTTTCTTTTTAAAAAATACACAATTTTCAAGTTTATTTAAAATTTAATAGATCCTTTAATTGTCGAAATAACAACACCAAAATATTAAATATACAATATGACCCCAGATTGAGTTTACAAGAGGAATTTTTTTTATCTTTCATTTTACACCAAAACTGCAAAGGAGAAACATTTTTCGCTTCCGCGCTATTTTTTTTTTAAGCATCACTATTCCTGAGATATCGATATTCTAAAAGTTGAGGGAGTAACGTTCTACATGATATGCACATACAGAGTGCACCAGAACTCGCGCCCCAAAGAAAAAATGCTATGTAGGGTAAGGTAAGGAAGCAACACTATAATTAGCAAGTAAATGAACAAAATATTCAGGGCGCTTTGTAAGTAATAAAACAATAACAACGCTTATAAATAAACATCACGCGTCAGTATTGGAATTTGTGTTGGATTTTCAAAAGTGTTTAATTAATTTTACTAGTGCAGTTAGTAGTAAAAAAAAATCGAATTTTGACAGACCAATAAAGTGTGGACATACTCTGACTGGTTTGAAATTTTAAAACTGAAAGCAAGATTAACTGTTGTGTGACTTTTCTCTTTATGGTAAAACAGCTGTAATCCCTTTGAAATGCATTTTAATTTGAGAGAATGCAACTGTGACTAGAGAATAATAAATAATATTGTAATTTGCATGATGTTGATGTTATTGTCAGTTTGGTTGCTTAGCTTCCAGGCGTTATGTGCTGATTTACGATTGGAAACTTACCTAGAAGCTCACTGTGGTCTTAAATAAGTGGAATAGTACGCTTGTTTACTATATATTATTTTCTAATCTATTAGTTTTTCAAATACCGAGAGGCAATTAATAATGATTATTGTGTTATTATTGTTAGGTTGGCAATAAGTTTAAAGTCTTGATTCGGCGCCCTTCATTGACGTTACAATTTTCAAAAGCAATTCCATCTAAAATTGGAAATTTCCAAATTAGATATCTTTTCCTTTTAATGCTTATACAGAGATACATGACAATAAATTAGCATTTTTTTTTCTCTATCAATTTGATCATTTTATAAAATTAAATTTTTTAAAAACCTTTTGTTATAAATAACAACAATAAAAGTGGTTAGATTAGATTGTAAGATTTAATTTATAGCCAGTATGATTGATAACTACAACAATTTAAAATTTGTTTAGGTATATTTTATTCTAAAACAATTGACTCCAATAATATAATTATGTTCGTTTTCAAATAGATATACATATAGATTTTTTTATTATTAAATTCTTCAGTTATAGCATTTACTGTAAGTGTTTTTAGTTGGGTTCTCGGTTTTCCCTTTTTTTTACTGTAAACGTTACAAAAAAAAAACATATAGTCCCGCCATTTTTATAAATGCACTTTATAAATTTCCAAACTATAAATTAATAATGTTCCATCTTATAATATTTAAGAAAAAAATATGAATTATCTTATTGATTCTCAATTTGTCAATATTTTGTCTCAAAACTCTCAAAATCTTTTTATGTTGATGAAAATCGCTGATTATTGTGATCAGTGTTTATTGTTTTGAAATATGTTGACTAATTTTCCTGTGAAGTTCTCTAAACTCAATCATACAAAAATATTTTTTTCTATTTCGGTGTCACAATGAACATTTTGTCAACTAAAAGTAGTTGCGTAAAAAACAATTTTGTTTGTGACACTGTTTTTTGGCGACATTTTATGCAATACTTTAGTCATCAACTCATCACTGTCGTTTTTAAATAAGAAATTGTTGCAGTTCAACGTATTTCACCGAAACAAATGCAATTTAAGCTATTTTTGAGCAATATGGGCACTGCGTATGCAAGTGTCAAAAATTTTAACTGTCAAATATAATAATAAATACAATTTAAAAAGCGCTCAATAGAAAAAAATAGTATAAAAAACGTGGGTTATAACCTCCATTGTGATACCGTGCATTTGTAACACTCCTATTAACAATGGGAGTGTTTGTAACACTTGTTTTTTAATATACTATTAGAAGGAAATAAAATTATAGGTAACAAAATAATATGCTGTTTTATTAGAGTACTACATCATTTAATTTTTGAAGCTGCCATTTCTGATGATCATTATTAAAAAAAATACATTTGGTATGTTACATATCATTATGCGCACATACTTAGTACGGTAATAGGCACCTGTGTAAAAAAATAATTAAAAAAAAGGGTTAATGACAACTTCGGCAATACTGATTATGGAATGTCAACAAAAGGATTCTTCGTAATAAGAATTCCCAAACAAAAACGTATACATTGTACATCCTCGTACAAAATAATAAAATACTAACGTAAAATACAAAATAGTTTAACTACGTTTTAATAAATAATTTTATTTTACTTTATATAAATTAATGTGTAAACTGAATGATAAAAATGAATTAAATAACCATGAAAGAAATGTTGAATTATTTTTCCAGCCTTTAAAATAATTCATTATTCAAACAATAATGTGAAATAAATAAGTGGTGGTGTTGTACACTGACATTAAATTATAAAACTTGTAATACTATAATACTAACAATAATATTGTGATGTTTCTACGTGAAATCTTCATTGAAAAAATCAGCATTATTCTACTTTCTTTGGTCAGCGAAAATAACCTAAAATGGGGGCTCAGGTCTTCTTTATTGTTTAAGCACTCATAAGTAAAACAAAGTACTTTTCTCATTACTTGACCAAATAAAGTAGGACTTGGTACAAAACAAAATCTCTGTCAATCATATACCTAACTTAATATAATATCTGGTGTGAGACTAGAATGGACATTTACTTCGATAAATATTCAATCATTTTCCGAAATTTTGGCATTTCTTCGCTCAATAAAAGAGACTCTACGCACCCTACGAAGTATTTGGTGGAGAAGCACTCGGACCTAAAACACACAAAACAATTAAAACTGCACCACCACATTCAAATAACACATGCATTAATTTAATATTAAACTGGAGTTGCACCAAAATGCTGTAAAAATTTCAAAATCTCTCCCCATACCCTCCAGTGTGAGGCAAAAACGGGAACAAAAACCAAAGTATTTCAAGTCAAAAAAATTGATTATTTAATCACGACCGTACAAAAAGTGCAACTTTTAAGGGAAAGGATAAAAAAATATAAAAACCAAAAAAAAAAACAAAATCGGTAATTTCTGCAACCAACAATACACTTAATTATAAAATTTCTAGTAAATTAATGCAAAACATTCTTTTTCAAAATAAGAACTTTAGATCATCTGTTTGCAATTGTTGTCATGTTTTTTTTTCCTAAAGTTCAGAATTCACAACAAAAACCAAAAAAAACGGACGAATATTTGAAGTCAAAAAAATTGATTATTAGATCACGACCGTACAAAAAATGCAACTTTCAAGGAAAAGGAGTGTTAGAAAGGAGGTTAGAAGAAAAAACTAAAAATAAGTTAGTGTGTTAGAAAATAAAAAGGGGTGCAAGTGTACCTAAACCCCCCAACTCAGCTCCACGTATTTGTTTTATCCAAAGTTGAATTTGCGCCTCCTCATCCGAACGCTGTAAAGTATCGATACATCCTTTGAAGTAATCTGTCGTAAAACAGTTTTTCCTGGAAGAAAAGGGGGCACATGATGAGAAAACCATTTAACAAAATTTAATTTTTGAGAACGAATAGTTTAATATGACATTGATTATGCAGTTTACTGTACATTGCACTATTTCAAAAGTAATTTTTTGACCCATTTTTTAATTTTTTAATTAAAGTATCTTGTTAATTCTCGTTTTCATATTATTAATTATTAATTAATTTGCATCGAAGTAATCGGTGAAAAAGATCATTTTAGGGTGGCAACCATGCGAAAATTCAAATAATCCTAACCTCAATCTTCCCTAAAAATTATTTTTCAATTAATTGTGTACCCCAGGCAGCAAAAATAATTAAAATTAACAACGTAATTAGCATAGGGTAGCAAACATAAAAGTTTTTATCATTAGTGATGTGATTAAATTTGTTCTGAATGACATTAATGAATGACACTTTTGTGTGAATGGGCCTTTAAATTAAAGACTTCTCAACCTACTTGATGTACATGATTAATATGAAAAGTGTAAACAAATTTTATTTGTGATAACAGAACAAAAAATCTGATAGTCAATTAGAAAATTCCCTGCGTTTTTGTTATTTTAACGCGAATCGTGGTAAGAAGCGCATTTCCGCGTAGCCCAACTTTCAGTCAGCATTTCAGGAAGCTTCGTCGTAACAGAAAACTGAAAACATCCCATGAGTCATTCATTATCACCAAAGCACCAATTTCTCACGCTAAATTCGAACGATATCAACATATAATTTAAATAGTAATCAGTTTCCCGAAGCCACGAGGCGGAAATAATGATAACTGCTGTGCAACATAATTCAAGTATAACGTTTTGAAATGTACCTGCATAAGTTATGGAGTTGTGGCTCCCGGAACAGCATGTAGCAGTCTTCGCATATGCTGTCCAGTTTAGCAAATATGCTTTTATCATACACGCCTTTGCACTGAATATCGAAAAATGAACGCTTTGTGAAGTGGTGAGGAAGGAAGGCCGGGGACCTGCCAGCTGGACTGCTTGTGATCTCTTGGAACACCACGGCGAGGATCATACACACCCACACTGCTTGAGTGCTTATGCTTTGGGATGATCGGTAATTCATCTGAAACATAATTCACTTTTATACAAAAAAAAAAACAAATCTGGTGACAATTCTAGCTTTTTGGTTGTAAAACCAAAAGATATTTGTTTGTTTTAATGTAAATCTGTCTGCTTAGAGGATACAAGACATTTTTTTTTAATTTCCCTACTTCTAAAAACCACTCTTTGTGTTAGAAGGGAAAAATGAAATATTGGTGTAGAGTTTTTCAGGGGTCAAGAAAACCAGAATCTAATCTTTTTCGTAACAATAAAACAGATTATCATTATGTTTATTGTGTTGACTGAGAGTTATTTTTATTTTTTCATAAAAATCTTAAAATTCAAATTGGTGATGATCTCTGCAACCAACAATACACTTGATTAAAAATTTCTCTTGTAAATTAATGCAAAACATTCTTTTTCAAAATAAGAACTTTTGATCTTTAGATCATCTGTTTACAATTGCAAAAAACGTTTATTATCATACTTTTTTCCTAAAGTTCAGAATTCACAACTGTTACTAATTCCAATGAATAACAGTGATACTGCAGTTTTGTTAAATATTTATAATTACTAAATATGGTGAACAAAAAATATAAAACCATAAAATAATACTCTGAAAAAAAAATTAGTCCATTAAAAGTACATAAAAATAAAAATGTGATGATCGTTTTTTAAGAATAAAATTTTTGGATTTTTT